AGAAAGAAGGGGAGGAGGCAGAGAGAGGGTGAAAGAGAATCTCTTGAACCAATGTGAGAAATCAAGAGTCGGATCAACAGTTGGATGCTTAGCCAACTGAGCCACCCAGGCACCCCAACCTGTGATTCTTTAAAATTGTTCTGTATCTCGTGTTTGGTATAAACACTCGATTCCCAGAATGTTCACTTTTCGCAACTTTTAGTCTCAAAATCGCTTTTAATGCCTTCTGGGCCTGTCCCATGACAATATTGAAAGAGAACAAATACACTACATGTCATTTGTACCAGGCTCCTCTAAAGAACAAGAGGGAAAACTAATCCACAAAAAAGCTGTTGACTTTCCCCTGAACTTATGAAACTATATAAGAGTTCCTGCACACACTTTCACTGACATCTCAGAAAGCTGTATTCAGAAATAAAAGAGCCCCTTACTTTCCTCCACCCCTCAATCATTTCCACACCACAGGTCAGCTTATGGCAGCCTCCAAGCCATGGTACCCAAGTTGAAATGACTGATCCCTTCTCTAACCTTCCAGCCCCACCCCCTACTCCATCAGTTCTTAAAATGGGGTCCCTGTACCTGCAGCATCAGCATTACCTAGGAATCTAGTAAACATGCAAATTCTCTTGCTGCACCACACACCTACTGAATCAGAATCTCTGGGGGTGGGACCCAACAATCTGTGTGTTAACAAGCCCTGCAGGTGATTCTGATGCATGTTCAAGTTTAGGAACCACAGCTTTAGACACAACACACAGTTTGGTCGTATGGAATACCCCCTGGTTCTCCTAACTTTTGTACTCATTTATATCCTGGGCCTTGACGCTATTCCTTCTGCTTGGGAAATCCTCCCCTATAGTATGTGCCTCCATACCCTTCTAGACTAGCTTGACCATCACCTCCCCTGGGAAGCCTCCCCACTGCCAGGCTAACGGAGACACATTTCTCTCAGCTTCCAAAGAAAATTTCCTGTCATCTTCCACTTAAGCATTTATTATATTGTTTCCTATTTTCTTTTTCTTTTTCTTTTTTTTTTAATGTTTATTTGTTTTTGAGAGAGACAGACAGACAGACAGACAGATGGTGAGCAGGGGAGGGGCAGAGAGAGGCAGAGACACAGGATCTGAAGCAGGCTCCAGGCTCTGAGCTGTCAGCACAGCTCAAACTCTCGAGATCATGACCTGAGCCATGAACTGAGCCAAAGTCGGACGCCTAACCAACTGAACCACCCAAGTGCCTCCTATTTTCTTGATCTCTGGTCTCACTTCTAAAGAAACAGGCTTTATCTTTCCACATTCAACAAAGTTTTAAACGATTATTATGTTTTAGTGAGTATTTAAGGCATTAAGAAACTAGAAGTTTAAAAAAAAAAGATCAAAATATTTGTTCTACTGAAAGTGGCCAGACAATAATGCAAATGGCTGTACTTCATAGTACTGTATTTTATTGATTTAAAACCACATGTTTTTCCCTCACTTTTAGGATCTGAAGTCAAAATAAGTCTTAATTGATGGCATACCATGGCTTAATTGGCATCTTTTCTTAGTGGTGCATAAAATAATAGTGTGTTTCTACAATAACATGACAACCTTAGATTTGATGAAATACAGAAAGGTTAAAAAAAAAGTGATATGTTATATGGGGAAAAATTAAGCTACAAAGTAGGATGAGGGGTATAGCTGTCAGGAGAGACAGGGTGTCTTTGGAAACAGGATGTCCAGGGAAGCCCTTTTCGAGACAGGGACATTTGAAGACAGATGTGAGGGAGGTGAGTGACAGATTCATGGACAAACGGAGGGAGTGACCAGAGCATTCCAGGTTGAAGGAATAGTAGGGGAAAAGTCTAAAGACAGGAAAATGCCTAGTGTCTTGGTCTGTTTAGAATAGAGCTTAGAACAGTCTGATAAATACCCACAAATGTTTGTTTCTATAATGGACATCAGCCATTGGTAATGTACAGATACTTGCAGAATATGATGATTTCCAAGTATTTTACTTCCGTGTACCTGTGGGCAGTGTGACTCTGGGAAATAACAAAGCCTTGACAGAACTGTGTAAATCAGAAAACCTTACTTTGCATCCGTGGGGTTCCAGACCTTATTGTAGGTGTTGAGAATACAGAGATGTATTAAATGTGATCCTTGCCCTCAAGGAATTCTTGTCTAGCAGAGAAAATAGAAAAATAACCACAATGTAATGTATTCAACTATAGTCAGAGGTGTGTGAAATGTATTATTATAGCCACTTAACAAGGAACAATACCTGTGTTCATCCATACTCCTGTGAAGGTCTATTTCAAAGGGAAAGTGAAGAGCAGCCTTTTGGACCACATCAGATCCTGATCTCTTATCAAGCCTCCTAGTGTCAAGGCACAATAGATTGCAACTCATACACAGAACATTCTTAAGAAAAAGGACTCCCAAAATGGGCTGCTACCTTAAAAGTTACATTCCTGCTAATGTTGTTTAGAAAATAATAATATATCAAAGGGCTTAAATGATAGAGTAAGCTGTCCAACAAATGCAAATTGCCACTCTAGCCCAGCTTGTGATACCTACAATCTTCTTTTTTTTTTTAATTTTTTTTTTCAACGTTTATTTATTTTTGGGACAGAGAGAGACAGAGCATGAACGGGGGAGGGCAAAGAGAGAAAGGAAAAAAAGAACCGGAAACAGGCTCCAGGCTCTGAGCCATCAGCCCAGAGCCCGACGCGGGGCTCGAACTCACGGACCGCGAGATCGTGACCTGGCTGAAGTCGGACGCTTAGCCGACTGCGCCACCCAGGCGCCCCTGTGATACCTACAATCTTCTAAAATGAATCCCTCCCTATCTTTTAAAAGGTAGAATAGATAGGCTGAATCACAGCTGGCTTTTAAGTGGGGCAGAGTTAAGGAATCAAGTCCCATGGGCTGGTTTCTCTCGCTCACTTTCTCAGTTCTGATCTTCCCTATGTTACTAGAAAGTTTGTTTCTTCATGACAGAAGTTCAAATTGTCACCTTTAGCAGCTCCAGACCTTATATTCTCTTAACTAAGTCCAGAGGAGAACAAGAATACCTTTCCCAAGAAGACCTGGGAAATACCTCATCCTCCTTTGTAAAGTCAGATATTGATCCCTAAATCAGAAATCAATAGCTGATTCAAGAGTTCCAGGACTGGGGCGCCTGGGTGGCTCAGTCGGTTAAGCATCCAACTTCGGCTCAGGTCATGATCTCGTGGTCCGTGAGTTCGAGCCCCGCGTCAGGCTCTGTGCTGACCGCTCAGAGCCTGGAGCCTGTTTCAGATTCTGTGTCTCCCTCTCTCTCTGACCCTCCCCTATTCATGCTCTGTCTCTCTCTGTCTCAAAAATAAATAAATGTTAAAAAAAAAAAAAAAGAGTGCCAGGATCCCATGGGCTGAGTTACAGACAGGGTTTCCTTCTAGCAAAGTAGGATATAGTTAAAGAACGTGGATGCCGGAGCTTGGGGAAGCAAAACAAGAGATGTCCCCTAAACATCCTTTCAGAACATGAACCTGATTGATCATCACACCAGTAATATCATGGCCTGGAAGAATGAAATTCATGTCCATCTCTTTCCAGTTGAAAGAATTCTCTAGACATGCCTGTCTCCTAGAGAAACCACCAGACTTGTGCGACTGTTGAGTACTTGAAATGTGGCTATTCCAGATTAGAAATACCAGATTTCAAACATTTAATACAAAAATACAAAGTACATTTACATTTAATACAAAATATAAAATAGCTCATCATGGGGCGTCTGAGTGGCTCAGTAGGTTAAGTGTCCAGCTTCGGCTCAGGTCTGATCTCACCATTTGTGAGTTCGAGACCCACTTAGGGCTCTGTGGTGGCTTTGGAGCCTGGAGCCTGCTTCAGATTCTGTTTCTCCCTCTTTCTCTGACCCTCCCCACTAGCACTCTGTGTGTGTCTCTCTCTCAAAAATAAACATTTAAAAAGTAAAAAAAAAAAATAAAATAAAATGGCTCATCAGTGTTTGTTATTAGTTCAATGGTGAAATGTTAATTCTGGATATATTCCATTAAATAAAATCTATTCTCAAAATTGATTCTACCCTTTTCTTTTCTACTTTTTAAAATGTGGCTACGAGACTCATAGAAACAGAGAGTAGAATGGTGATTCATTACCAGTGAGTAGGAATAGAAGAGATATTGTTTAAGGATACAAACTTCCAACTAGTCAATATATAAGTCCTGGAGATCCAGACCACACATATAGACAACAATATTGTATCATCATGAAACTTGCTAAGGGACTAGATCTTCATTATTCCCACCACATAAAAAGAAACGATAATTATATGGAGTGACAGAAATGCTAACTATTGCTACAACCGCAGTCATATTACGATATAAATGTATCACATTAACATATCTACCCCTTGAATTTATACAAGATTATATGTCAAATATATTTCAATAGAAAATAAATACATAACAATTTAAGAATGAAATGTGGCTCCCAGAACGTTTCAAGTTAGAATTGTAGTTTGCATTATATTTCTATGGACCGTGCTGCTGTAAGATTTCCACCAGGCTTGGAGCAGACCGTTCATTTGGCACTGTGATTCACAGAGTGTGGTTCCCTCTGACCAGAAGCATCAGCATTACTTGGGGGCTTGTTAGATACGTACTCAGCCCCTTCCCAGACTCACAGAATCAGCAACTCTGGGTGGAGCCCAGCCATCTGTTCCTAACAAGCCCTCCAGGTATTTTTCTTCAGCAGCTTCCCTGGTGAGCCACACAGCTAAAAGCATACTTTACTAGCGCTTCTGGAAGTGGCAAAATCAACTTTGCAGAAAATCAGGTTGAGTAAGTTGCTAAGCGATTTAAAATGTTAGTTTTCATGTTTAAAATGCTGAGAAATAGATGTGAATATTGAAGCCAAAACAAGCCTTTGAGCCCTGGAAGAAAGCCCCTTGGGGTGGGGGAGGGGAGAGGTAAATAAGTAGCCTGTGATTTGGGCTTAAAATGAGAGATTGAGCTATTTGGCATTATAAACTAAGATTTATTGAAATTGATTCTAAATGTTTGGTTCTAAACCCGAACCCCGCTCTTTGTGGTAGAGCATTATTATCAACTCCATTTTACAGGTAAGGAAAAGGAGGCACAGCAAGGCTCATTAGCCCGCTCAAGGCCACATCTGCTGGGGCCAGAGTGAATCTGGCTATAGAGCCCAGGGGTCTGAAGCATTGTACTCACAGTATTGTGTAGGCTCCAGGGCATATCTCAGCTGATCTGCAAAGGGAGTTAATTCTCTACTAGTTCTTCCTGGCTATTAGAATCATTTGGGGACCCTTAAAACTGCATTCCTGCCAGGCTCCACTAACTAGTGATTTTCATTTCCTTGGGGTGGAGTGGTTTCAGGGGTTGCTGCAGAGCTGCCCTGGGACCTCAGAAACACCTCTCACTGGACGGATGATGAAGATGAAGCGGGAGACACACTGTGTGGAGTCAGCAGGAGTCAACTCGGGCTCTGGAAATTAGGCCAGGGCTTCTCCAGCTGCAGAGGTGTACAAGTCCCCTAGGTAACCTTTTCACACGCAGGTTCTGCTGCAGTGCGGTAGGTGAGGCCGGAGCTTGTGCAGCAGCCAGGTGGGGGAGATGCTAAGGGTCCACAGACCACACTTTAGTATTGGGGCAGTGCACTAGCTGGATGCCCTGACCCTTGTGGCAGGTTCCTGGCCAGAGGGGCCTTCAGAGTGGTCCACTGTCCAGCAGGAGGGGAGTAGGGCAGGTTACCGAACCCAAATGCACGCCCAGAACGGGGATTCCTCATGGCAGGCCTGAGGCCCTGGGATGAACACCTGGAGCACAGCCGGGAGTTCCTGCTCCTGAGACCTGGGGGAAATTCTGGCAAGCTGAAAGGAAAACACCCCACAGTTACGGCCCTGAAGCAGGAACCCCAGTGATGCTACCCATCTCCCCTTCATTTGTCCTCACCTCGCCTAAGCGCAGCCTCGCGTTCTCCCCTCGCTCCTGCTTCCTCACGCGCCTGGCCTGTCTGAACCTTGGAAGAGGTGCGCGGACAGGGACCGCCTACTTTGTCTCTCCCCGAGGCTCCTGTCTTTCTAGGTCTCCCTGGAGGGTAGGACAGCCGGGATGCAAGCTGCTCGGTGTGCATTTTCCCTTCTACAACACCCCTCGCCGCTACCCTGACTCTCCACCCCTGCCCCTCTGTCTCTCTCCAAAATTCCCAGTCCGAGGCCAGAATTGGACTTTAGATGGACCCGGAATGAAAGCTTTCCCTCACCCCCTGCGGCTTTCACACCCTTCCCCCACAGGGTCCTTCCTGAGTCCTGCCCTCCTGCAGCCACCCGCAGGAAAGGATGCCAACAGCGCGGTGCAGGCGGACGCGGACGCCCAAGGAAGGAGGCGGGGCCAGGAGCCCCGGAGAGCCGCCACCGCACTCACAGTCACGCTGTCCCCGGAGACCCGGGACGCGGCGCCTGTGCCCAAAACAGAAAAAAGAGGAAGGGATAACTTCGTGTTGGGGATGGAGACAGAGGGGGCGGGGCGGGGGGGGGGATTCGAGGTTTTTCTCTAAGATCTGTTTGTCGCACCCTCATCCCCCAACCCAAATCCGGCGGCCAGAGCCTCCCACCCGGCCCACGCGGCCATCCGGCTGGGTCCCGACGCGGACGGCCCCCTCCCCCAGCCCCGCCACCCCAGGTTCCGGCCCATCAAGTCGGGAAATGAGACGATCCATCAGCCGGCCCTGCGTGCCGGGCCGGAGGCGTCCCCATCTGTGCGTTTCGCAAAGTCACCCGGGAGTAACGGCGCGGCGGCAGCCACCGAGGCTCCCGACCTCCGGGTGACAGAGGTTGGCGAACGTTGCTTTTGGTGGCTTTGGTGCTTTGGGCTCCAAGGCCCATTGGTCTGGCTTGGGATTCCCGAAGCTGTGGCCGAGGCCGTGGCTACAACCTCCATAGATCCGACTCTTTCTCTGACAACTGAAAGGAAAAAAAAAAAAAAAAAAAAAAAAAATGGCCCGGGAGAATTAGAAACACAAAGAACGTCCCGGGGAGGACACAGATTTGGGCCTAGAGACAGCACGTGCGGGTTTCATCTGGGCTGCTGGGCCGGGGGATACCTCAGACAGCCAGACCTGGGGTGGCAGGGGCCTGGGGCATTTCACAGGCAGGGGAAAGCTGAGGCACCTGCAAATTTGCTTTTGAATTAAAAGATAACCATAGGTTCGCCATAGAGAAATATCCGAAGGTTAATGTTATTTTTCGTGTTACTATAGGGGATTTAATGTTTTTATTTTGAGGGGACTAAGAGGAGGGTATCCACGGTGCTCTTCTGGTGTGGGGCCTCCCAGAGTTCTTACCCGGCCCTGTCCACAGAAGAGGAGAGAGGTGTTGACAGGACGCCCTCTGGAGCCTCCAGAAAGCCGGTCCTGCGTCCTGCTGGCAGACTGGACCTGCACCCCAGGCGGGATCCGCGGAAGGGGCGCAGGAGCATCGTCTGGGCGCGAGCTTTGCTGATGAGAGGCTGCCCCCCTCCCCATTGTCCCTGGGACTCCCGTTAAGGCAGAAGCCTGGGCTTTTTTTGCAGTTGCAGCCTGGGGTGGGGAATGCCCTCTGCTCCCCACCCCTTACCCAGATTGATTGATTGATTGATTGATTTAAAAAAAAATTTTTTTTTAAGTCGAACCTAACCTCACAGCCCTGGCCATATGAGCCAGTCCACCTACTGACCTTCTCGTCCCGGTCCGGAACCTGCGGGTCCAGGGCGGCCGCCAGTCCCGCCCGCAGAAACCGCTTGCTCCCGGGTGCTCGCCCCGAGCTGTCTGCGCGCCACTTGGGCCTCGGGTGCTGTCTCAGCTTCGATCTCCTCTCAGCAGAATCCGTTCTCCGTCTGGGAAACCTCGCGCGGGTCCCAGAATTGTCCGAGGACCGAGCTGCGGCGTGATACCCCGTGCACCCCTGGCCCTGCAGCGCGCATCCTCACGACTTCTCTTCTGGAATCCAGACCGCTGGGGCACTTCGGGGCATTTTCCTCCGGTGCGGATACAGCGCTGGCTGTTTGGTCAGGAAGAAAAGAAAGGGATGCCTGTGTAAACAGGTCTCCTCTCTCCCCAAGTTCAGCATCCTACACCCCCCTCAGAGTCTCCCGACTTTTCTCGGGATGGAGGAAGGACCCGAGAGGCCCAAGGATCGGAGAGCGCCTGGGTCTCACAGCCCACCTACCTCGCTCCAACACCGGGTTTGGCAAGACTTCCTGTGCGGCGCAGGAGCTGCGAAGAAGGTCTCCGGAGAGGCAGGGACACGCTCTCTGCTAGGAACTTTCTTCCTCCTTTTTCTAGTCCTAACGACCCTCCACGCCCAGACACAAAAGACCCCGCAGGTTCGGTCGCTGTGGCCGAATTTGCTCAGCCCCAGCACCCTTGTAATTGATCCCCCTATCCCGGCTTTGGAGCCGGTGTGGACTTGACCTTTGCATCTGGACCGGGTTTTTCTGTCCCATGTCTAGACCTGGAGCAGCTGCGCCAATGTGTCAGAAGTCCAACCCAGGTGCCAGGCTCCAGTGTCTTTCTCAGGTTGAGGTCCTTGCGAGCTCTGGGCGCAGGCAGCTAGACGCCCGCAGTGGCGCGCATCTCCCTTTGCTCGGGCAGAAGCTCCCAGGTCTGGAGTCTGCAGCCTGGGCGCCAAAGCTCCAAACCCGGAGCAACCGGGCTCTCCTGCATCGGTGCCACCCCAAGGTACTGACACAGGCACAGGCCATGTGCCCTGACCAGCGCACACTTCTTCCACGCTGAGACAGTATGCTTTAATAATGGAATTCACAACATGTTTTTCCCTGAAGGAATTGCTCAGATCACTTCTCAACTAAGGTCACTAAGAGACGCATTGTGTTTCGTCCTGGAGGGATTCCTTTAGGAAAGGCATTTTCGGAGCTACTGCCCTGAAATTGTCGCTCTTCATAACTAGCATATTGCTTTCTAGATTGCCATTCCAGGCACCTTTGCAATACACCGAAGACTCCTTCCTCTTTCTCTTTCTTGGTTACTGGAGCATCTTTGCAGTGTTTTCACAAAAAAGTCACAGACATATCCCAAACCTACAACATCAGAACACCTGAGGGCATTCCGGAATTCCAGCTCTGTCCAGCAATGCTTCCTTCAAAGCACAACAGACTGGCCACCCCACTCTCACCCTCCCCTCCCAGAGGCAATTAATATAAATTGTCCTTAGTCCCAACACATCTTCAAGTGATAACTTCAAATAGGCAATTAAAAGAGTAGTTAACTGGGGGACCAGAGATGCCGGTAACATGATTTTAAGGAATTGCAGCATCTGAGAATTCAGGCAGCAAACTGTTTTAAATGAGCTTGCCTAACCCTGAGACACATGGAGGTAGTTGTTTTTCTTGCAGAGAAACACTCCTTAAAGAATTTTAAAACTTCTCCATTGACTCTTGTTTTTGTTTGTTTGTTTTTTGTTTTGTTTTGTTTTGTTTTGTTTTGCAGAGAAGTTCCCTGCTCCCACGTTAAGCTTTTCCTCTCTGCTAGGAAAGCAGAGAGGGCTGTACTCCAAGGCCTAAATCTTACACATTGAAACTTAGTGGTAACTAACTTAAAACAAGTTTAAAAATGGTTAACTAATTACTGCCTCATTTGCTACTGAACTTTTCAAGAATGACTACCAAGCCTTACCATCTGCTTATTCAGGGTTTGCTTTATGGACTTTGTCTTCCCCTCCCCCCTCGCATTTTCTCCTCTGTGAAGGCATTTATTCTAAATGAACCCATAAAAGGACATTTCCTAAGGACTTAGCATAAACATACTTTGCCAATGAAAGAGCCATTATTCTGGTGCCTTGTCTCCTCCACTGGTTACCCTCATTGCAGAAACAGCTCTTGCTTCATTAAAGTAGGTGCAGGAGAGACCAATGAAAGAAAGGATGAGGGAAATTTTACCAAGGTCATGCAAGCTGAGTGCATCAGAGGCACGCTTCACTTTCTCATTCTTTGCAAATATTCTAGGGTTTGGAAACTTCTGCACAAAATACTCGTGTGTACACTTACTTTTCAGTTCTTATCCAAAAGGGTTTCTATCCTAGAAAGGGTTTGAAAGGCAGTAAATAAATTAAATTAAATAAGTGTTCAGTGATATGCTGAATACAAGAAAAGGTTTTGGTAAGTAGTAATTCCAGCTTGACATCTCTGTGCACCTTGTCCAGGTTAGTTAAATTATCCCTGCTTCTTTAATCCTTGTGTGCTCCCAGTGTGTGTGTGTGTGTGTGTGTGTGTGTGTGTGTGTTGGAAGAGTTGGGGGATAATAGGGCCAGAGTACATTTTTACATTTCACTGTAAAGTGGACTGAAACATCAACAAGCCAAATTTCAGCTGTAACAAAGCCTAGCTTTCCCCTTTTCAAGTTCACAAATATGGTTTCTAATCAGCATTTTTTCTGATTTTTGTAATTTTTTGCTTGGTTCTACAAATCCAAGTCAATTATTTGTGTGACTAAGAGATACACCTAACAATTTGAATGTTTAATTTTTTTAGAATAAGGTTTGCATATGCATACCGTATGTAGGGCATATTATCACATAAAGACATTAAATAGAGACTATGTAGTCTATAAATGATTTTGAACTTCTGGGTCTAACTTCTTCTTTAATGCAAATTGATAAACATGGAAGGATGAAGAGTTACATCTTTGTACTGGCTTTCCTATTTAATATATATTTCTTACATTAGCAGTGCCAAGGGCAATTGTCTTTCTTGTCTTCCTTGATACCAGTTCAATCTGTCCACATTTTTCAAAACCCACCTTCTCCAAGAGGCCTCCTTTGGTCAGTTCTACCCCACCATGGGGATGGCTATCTTACTTTACCTTTTTCTGTGTGTCTATGCCCACCTTGTGCCACACAAGTCTACATCTTCATGTATCTTCTTCTATTCTCCCATCTAAACTGAAAGGTCTAGACACACAGGAGCCTCTTCTTCCACTACTGTGAAATAGTAACCACCCAATGGCATGTGATTCATTAAGGCCAATCCAAGTAAGTAAGTACACAAATTGAAAAGAATCCTTTGAAGGACATAGAGGATCTAGAGAAGATTCCAAGGGCAACATGCATGGGTTACACTTACCACTGACATTTTGTTTTGACCACCAGCAGCAATAATGAAAATTGACACAACCGTTATCCACAAGAGTGTATTTGTTTATGTTAGCTTCTCCTACTTTCTCTCCCATTCAATAAATGAAAAATGGAACAAATTTTGGAAAACTTTGTTACTATCTTAAAATATGATTTAATGGTGAGTTTTACTTGCTCTTTGCTGATTTCAGAGAAGTGAAGATTTTTTTAAAGCTTGATTAGAAAGTTATTTAATTAATGTAGGTGAAAGTTGTAGGAAAAATGATCCAATTGTTATTGCAACATAAGAATCACTGAGGACAGATAGATAAGTTAATGGATCTTTGTAAGCTATCTTTAAGATTAAACACCTAAAAGGAAATTCAATTATGTTTTGAGGATGATCCTTCCAGGAAGAAAGAGTTAAAACTGCTTCCTTTTTTCTTTTAACTCTTGAAGTACTCTCTGGTGTCAACAAAGAGATCATGTATGTCAGGTATGGAAAGAAACCATTTCAAAGGAACGACCATTTGATTTATAATGAAATCAATAATCAACTACAACAACTTAAGATTAATGACCCATGCTACTTCCCATCTATGTTTTCTTATTAAAGCAGATAATCATCAATTAACTCAGTTGATCTTTTAATAATCTATAAATGAGGACATCTGCAATAATGTATCACAAGAAAAATTGTCATAATCTTTCACAGACATCTCTTCTACTTCTATAATGGTATTTGTTTATCTTTGGGTTCCCAGAGCACCAAACATAGTGCAAGTAATAGGTATTCAGTTAATGTTTATGATGAAATTAATTTGTCTTTGTTTTGAATGATGTTCTACTC